AGTAATTGCCGAAGGAATTTAAGGTGATTTCATTGCGTGCCTCGGCAAAAAAAAATTGCCGAGGCAAACTCGAAAATTATCGAAAGACTTCGGCAATTATTTGCCGAAGCAAAAATAGTTGAATTTCGAGGGTTGTAGCGGTGGTATTATGATTTTGTTGTGCTTAAGTTTTGCAATAGTTACTTTTAGATAAGGCAAACAAAGCATATACATCGATAACGAACCACAAAATTCAAAGTTTTAAACAATTTGAACTTCGTGACCGTGCCGTGACATAAAACTGACATTTCAAACTCTGAACTCTAGCTATTTTCGGCCTGGTCGCGTAATTTTGAAAACGGATTTTGAATAATGTTATCCTATAGTTGTGACGTCACGCATATCCAGTGTTAGTACAGATCAGTGGTACTGGGTAGGTATACCGGGTGGCGCAAAAAAAAGTTAACCTGTCTGATTTATTTTAACTTAAAAACTAAAAGAGCTATTACACCTAAACTACGTGCATTGCATTTAGTATTGTCTGACTTAAATTTTGATATACGCCCCGTGCAATTTCGTGCAATATTGACCGAGAGAGCTGCGTTTAAACTTGAATAAACATTTTGGGAAGTGTTGAGAATTAGCTAAAAACGGCTTGTTAAACTAATTTGATAACCGTTACCATTTTACCGTAAATATTCTTTTCAATGAAGTGAAGTTTAAATTAAAAATCTTTATTGGATGGATGTGCTCTTTTATTTTTGTTTAAGATCTTTGGGAATGCATGAAAATTAAATTATGAAACGATTTTGACTAAAAGATTTATTCTAAATATTCAATGACTCTGGGGAATCGAATTCTAATGTTCCAAGAAAGAAACGTCAAGTGGTTTTTTATAAATACGCCTCGTTTAACGAAAGACCATAGAGTTTCGATATTTTTAGAACATGCAAGGGTAAATAATGCTCGTGAGGTTATACCGGCGGCGTTGGGCAGGTCTCTGACAACGAACGTGTACTTTCTGACTATAGTTCGCCTAAGCACAGGTTATTGCTGTATTAAATATTTGATAGGCCGTTTTTGGCTATTTCTCGACACTTCCAAAAATGCTTACTCAAGTTTAAACGCAGCTCTCTCGGTCAATATTGCACGAAAATGCACAGGGCGTATATCAAAATTTAAGTTAGACAATACTGAATGCAATGCACGTAGTTCATGTGTAATAGCTCTTTTAGCTTTTAAGTTAAAACAAATCAAACAGGTTAACTTTTTTTTGCGCCACCCGGTATATATATATATATATATATATATATATATATATATATATATATATATATATATATATATATATATATATATATATATATATATATATATATAAAGTTAGATATTTTTCACGTGTTTGTTTCACTAAGGTATACAGTCGGTTTAACTTTGCCGGTACCCTGTTCGATAAGTATTCCTTCCACTCGCGAGCTCATACTGACCATAGTGATCGAAGTATGTCCAGGCCTTGTGACCCTGGATGGGCGCTTAAAAGGAAGAAATACACACACACAGATAAAGAAATTTTAATCCATAGTATATTCATAGTTACATGCTTGCTCAAACTTAGGTACAGATTCTTGTTTACCTATAGCTACTAATACACTACTGCGCATGTCATCGAACGATGTTATTAGTACAAATTTCAGGGACGGCATAGCATTGACCTGCTATTG